TCGCAGGCGATGAGTCGAGGAGTCGACGGCGGAGTGCGGCTACAGAGATTGCAGGAGGTTTAGTGGCGACACATGAAAATAAAAGAAAGAAAGGAGGAAAATGAAAAAATAGGGAAAAAAACTCATGGGACTACTAGTGTCGTGAGTTTTGTGACTTAGGTTTAATGACCGAATAATGACCACTAAACATACGGGACTAGTAGTCTCATATGTTTCAAAGAGTTAATTTAGCAAAACCGACTTCTTTTTTGACTAAAAAGATGTCGGTTTTGCTAATTATTTATCAAAAAAAGTTTTTTTCTTAATAAAAAAACTCAAATCGGGAAAACATCTCCTGGAAGTATTTAAAAAGCGTTTTCCCCCGTCCTTATTTTATCTATATTCACGGGCTGTACAATAGGGCCCAAGACCATGTCATCCCTAGTCTAAAACAAAAGCCCGACATTATGAATCGTCACGAAAATTAGGTGTTCGTCCGCCGGGGTCTTTCTCAGGGGTAGGGTTAGGGTTTCCACGTCTGGCGAAAATGGTAAGATCTTTCATCGGTTAGGGTTCGTGTTTCTTGTTATTTTTGCTTCGGTCTGAGTTTTTTTTTTGTTTGTTTGGAAATGATGAGTGCAGCCATCGCACAAGAGTTACATGATAAAGAAGAAGCTGGCGAAGAAGATGAGGCAGAATAGGCCCATCCCTCACTGGATCCGCATGAGGACCGATAACACTATCAGGTTTTTTTTTCAAGTCTAGGGTTTTTTTATATAGATTTTTTTTTTTGAAATCTGGGGTTTTCATAGAGTTTGGATATCTTATTTTGGTTCTTTTTTTTTAAATTGATTTGTTAGGTACAATGCGAAGCTCAGGCATTGGCGCCGCACTAAGCTAGGGTTTTGAAGCGGCCCAGGTTATCTCCTATCTTCAATCTAGGAAATTTAGGGGTATTTTTTAGGACAAATTTTCAAAAGAGCCCTATTTGCAAACTTATTCCCCAAAACGACTACTTTCAACTTTATTTGTTAAAACCGATCTGGTTTCAACCCCAAGGTTGAAACCAGGTCGGTTTTGGCGAAAAAAGTTCCCAAACTTCACGGGACTTCGAAGTTTGGAAACTTTTTTCGCCAAAACCGACCTGATTTTAACATTGGGGCTTTCAAGTCCTGTGAAGTTTGGCAGCCATTTTGTTAAGCTGCTAAACTTCACGGGACTTGAAGTCTCGTGAAGTTTCAAAGTTTAAAAAACTTCACGGGACTTGAAGTCTCGTGAAGTTTTAAAGTTTAAAAAACTTCACGGGACTTGAAGTCTCGTGAAGTTTCAAAGTTCAAAAAACTTCACGGGACTTGAAGTCCCGTGAAGTTTGAGCTGAATTTCCACGCTCTGGAAATTCAGCATGCAACTTCACGGGACTTGAAGTCCCGTAAAGATGCAGGTTTTAAAAAACATGCACAACCTGCTGTTCATGTTTTTTATATACGCAACGTAACTCCTAAATGCATTACACAACAAATATACATGAAATTTTCGTCATGAATCAATCGATTTACATGAATCAAACAATATATACTGAATCAAACAATAATCACGAAAATACACCTGTGAACAATAATCGATCTCATATACACTGAATTACGACAATATTCTTAAAATCCAGCCATGAATTAAACACGAATCAAACAATACTCACGAAGATCACATATATAAACAATAATTGATCCACAAAAGTATAATATTTGAAAAATCATAAAAGTTACAAATTTCAACAAAATAAGATCACATACAACCAAAAATTTCTCCTCTCCTTCCTCTCCCTCTCTTCCCCCTTCCCCTCGCTATTCCCCGCCCCGCTGATGAGCCTCGATTTCTGAGTATCTGGTTCGTTGTATGAAAGAGCTGAGAAGTATCGATATGCAAAGTGCTGGCTCCATCGTCATCGTCACGTGGCCTACGTCGTCGCGTGTATATTTGCCCAAATGATCGAGACCTGTCCTCACGGATGCAAACTCGTCGACATGAGTCCTTATGAAACGCCAGTGCTATTCTCTGCTTGATCCTGTTGAAGACCCTAACGCCGCCGGATCCTGAATCTCAAACATGTACTCATCAATATCAGCTTCAATGTCATCAAAAGCACGGACCTGTGAGTTAAACAATATATACACAATTTAGTAAATAACATCTTAATAAAAAAATTACTGTTTTAATTTAACTTAGAAACTTACATAATCTCCCTCGATCATCCCACTAGGGATGTAACTATCTGTCAGTGGGCGTGATAGGTGTTTAGCTGATGGTTGTGGGTCACGCGTGATTCATCTACGTGTGACATCCCAATACCAACGCATATATGCGGTATAGTAAATAGCTGTCTCTCGTATCCTGTATGAAATCTCACCTGTGAATCCACCTGTCTATGTAGGTCGCACGGAGTACGACCCAGTCCGTACGATGCGATGTAAGTCGTCGCCTACGATCGATTTGCTCGACAGGATCCGACACATGCTGAGAGAGCAGAAATTGTCGTAGCACAAGGTCGGAGACATGCATCTCCACAATCTCCCAACAGATCAATAAAACTCTGACTCTCCACAAGTCGGGACTATCTCGACAGATGGGTGCAAAAGTATGCATATCGAGCTCCGGCAGTGAATAGGGCCTCCACTTGAACTGAAATAAGATAAAACATTTATCAGTATCAACAATAAAATTATAATATTCATAACGACTCGAGATTTATATTTACATGTTCGTGTTGGAGGTCATCAAGCTCATTTCGGTAAAACTCACGATGTCGCGTCGCTGATTTGTACTTAGCGTACCGCACGTTATACCTATTTGACATAAAGAATATATGAGTACAAATTCAATATGAATAAAATTGTGTGGACAATTATACCTGTATGCCAAAGGAAACTGGCCCTGTAGATCACGGTGCACAAACAAAGTAGGTCGTCCAATATGAATGCGCTCCCATGACCAAATCTGTATCAATGTGCAGCATCCATTGAATTCTTTATTCTGCATCAAGGATACTCTACCCAATTCTCTATATAAGTATGTCAACACCGCACTGTCCCATGATAGTGCTCCGCATACACCAAAATCCTCTAGCAGTAGCAGCCATGATCGGGGAATAACATGCACCCTATCATGGGGCAGTGCGGTGTTGGCATACTTATATAAAGAATTGGGTAGAGTATCCTTGATGCAGAATAAAGAATTCAAGGGATGCTACACATTCATACAGATTTGGTCATGGGAGCGTATTCATATTGGACGACCTACTTTGTTTGTGCACCGTGACCTACAGGGCCAGTTTCCTTTGGCATACAAGTATAATTGTCCACATAATTTTATTCATATTGAATTTGTACTCATATATTCTTTATGTCAAATAGGTATAATGTGCGGTACGCTAAGTACAAATCAGCGACGCGACATCGTGAGTTTTACCGAAATGAGCTTGATGACCTCTAACACGAACATGTAAATATAAATCTCGAGTCGTTATGAATATTATAGTTTTATTGTTGATACTGATAAATGTTTTATCTTATTTCAGTTCAAGTGGAGACCTTATTCACCGCCGGAGCTCGATATGCATACTTTTGCACCCATCTGTCGAGATAGTCCCGACTTGTGGAGCCAGAGTTTCATTGATCTGTTGGGAGATTGTGGAGATGCATGTCCCTGATCGTGTGCTACGACAATTTCTGCTCTCTCAACATGTGTCGGATCCTGTCGAGCAGATCGATCGTAGGCGACGACCTACATTGCATCGTACGAACTGGGTCGTACTCCGTGCGGCCTACATAGACGGGTGGGATTTCATACAGGATACGAGAGACAGCTGTTGACTATACCGCGTATATGCGTTGATATTAGGATGTCACACGTAGATAGATCACGCATGACCCACAGCCATCAGCTAAACACCTATCACGCCCACTGACAGATAGTTACATCCCTAGTGGGATGATCGATGGAGATTATGTAAGTTTCTAAGCTAAATTAAAACAGTAATTTTTTTATTAAGATGTTATTTGCTAAATTATGTATATATTGTTTAACTCGCAGGTCCGTGCTTTTGATGACATTGAAGCTGATGAGTACATGTTTGAGATTCAGGATCCGGCGGCGTTAGGGTCTTCAACAGGATCAAGCAGAGAATAGCACTGGCGTTTCATAAGGACTCATGTCGACGAGTTTGCATCTGTGAGGACAGGTCTCGATCATTTGGGCAAATATACACGCGACGACGTAGGCCACGTGACGATGACGATGGAGCCGGCACTTCGCATGTTGATGGAGCTGATACTTCTCAGCCTCATACAAGGAACGCATGGGGCGGGGAATAGCTGGGGGAAGAGAGGGAGAGGAGGAATTTGGGTTGTATGTGATCATATTTTGTTGAAATTTGTAACTTTTATGATTTTTCAAATACTATACTTTTGTGGATCAATTATTGTTTATATATGTGATCTTCGTGAGTATTGTTTGATTCGTGTTTAATTCATGGCTGAATTTTAAGAATAATGTTGTAATTCAGTGTATATGAGATCGATTATTGTTCACAAATGTATTTTCGTGATTATTGTTTGATTCAGTATTATATTGTTTGATTCATGTAAATCGATTATTCATGGCGAAAATTTCATGTATATTTGTTGTGTAATGCATTTAGGAGATACGTTGCGTATATAAAAAACATGAACAATAGGCTGTGTATGTTTTTTAAAATCTGCAGTTGTCCCGTGAAGTTTAGCAGTTTAACACAATGGCTGCTAAACTTTATGGGACTTGAAGTCTCGTGAAGTTTTGGAACTTTTTTTTGCCAAAACCGACCTTGTTTCAGCCCTGGGGGCTGAAACCAGGTCGGTTTTGACAAATAAAGTTGAAAGGGGTCGTTTTTGGGGAATAAGTTTGCAAACAGGGCTCTTTTGAAAATTTGTCCCTTTTTTAATGAGTGTAATCGTATTATATCGACTTTAGCTTTTGAGCTGAATGAATTTTGGTTATGTGGAGGTTGTTCCTATCCGGCGCTGATGTTTCTTTGAGGGATAATTGACATTTTATTTTTTAGTATATCAGTATTTGTGATATTATTGCGTGGTTGTTCTTTGTTCTTGCAAACGATCGTCATTTTTCTTTCTTTCGATGACATATCAGTAGGTCATGAAACGACCAAACTTGTATAGGACATCTATTTAATAGGATTTCGGTGGGAAATTTCGCTATGTATACAAGAAGTTGATGGTGATGGTTGGTGAATTGGGTTTCCTCTTAGGCACATAAGAAATTTGTAAGTAGGAATTCGAAGGAATATGATGCTTCTTGGAATTCTTAACGAGATCACATGCTGTGGAAATTTGTAAGTAGGAATTCGAAGGAATATGATGCTTCTTGGAATTCTTAACGAGATCACATGCTGTGTGAGGCATGTGGAGAACTACTAAATAGTATGAAACATGGTGGAGCTAAGCTCTTGCTTGGCTCATAGACTTTGTTAGTTAAAATATTTGCATGGATACTTGTTTTTGAGAATGCTGAGAGCGTTTTAGAATGTTGAACACAATCTGACCGTGTGATCCAAATTGTCATCAACACTGAGAATGCCAGGATTTGATTTTTCTTATCCTGTTCCCTAAACATTTGGGTTGGTTCCAATATATATGCTGTTACGAAATGCGTTGAAGATATCAACACTAGTTTAATGGTGCTGTTTGATTTGCCAATTGCGCTTATGTCTATCTCTTGTTGTTGTTATGCCTAGTGTTGGCATCTTCATTGTTGTATTTCTTTTATGTGCCATTTGTGGTGTGCATCAATCCATCGAATTCTATTGCTTGTAACATTCTCACTGTTGATTCTTACCATGTGTATGAACTTTTAACCCCAGTTATCTTAATTATTTGGCGTGATGGTCCATCAGTAGTATTCATCCGTAGATGTATATAAAATTATATGTAGAAAGGGCGGATCTTGGTTCTGCCTACATAGCACTAATTATGTTTTTATACTGTCATTTTGATAATCCATGATTCAGTAGATTCTCTTGGCCTGGTTGGTTGAATAATAAGCGGTATGGGTAACTAAACATCAAGTTTTCATATAAACAAGCAGCGTGTGTAAGCCCAGGGTTTGCATCAGGTTTCGACGCGCACGCGCTTTTAGATCGAGTGTTTTTACGTCTTTGCTTCGGGTATTTTCGTAAATGTTCCGAAGGTAAATCTAGAGCCTGAGCTTTTTATTGTAGTTGCCTCCCCTTCCCCTTGTTAGGAAAGGGGTTTTTCTCATGTTCCAGTTTTGAGAGTTTTTTTTTTTTGGCATAAACTGGTCCAGTTCTGGCCCTATTTTTGTTAGGCCAAAAATGAGGCTTAAAATTGGTTCTTTTTTTGAACCAACCCTCCCTTGGTCCAAAAATGAGGCTAGGACCGTCAGGGTTTGCGAAACACAGCCTAAGAGAAAGGGGCATGCGCGCCCATCTTGGTCCGCAAAAGCAAAGTTAGTTGCCCTTCTCGTATTCAAAGGGAGAGTCTTAAACAATCGCGGCTGCATAGCCTCTCAATGAGACTGGGTGTGCGTCGGATGGGGATTTCTTGTGCAGATCAAGAGACAACGTTATGGGTCGGAGCATCTCGTTGTATATCGCTCACTCTCTAGGTAACCATGCAGGCTTACGTCTGGCTGGGGTGAATGAGTAGAGGGCTTCTTATATCTTTAGCGACCTTTGTTTCATTTCCATCAAAATTCAGACTATTTTTGCTGGAGGGGAAAAAATTTGCATTTGCTGACTTGAAGGTCATTTATTGATTCATGATCTCTCACGTTCTTGTTTGGAGTTAAAGAAACGCTAGTGGAAAAGTGAGCAACTTCGCAAGTCCCCAGCGTCTGAAAATTGATGGCGCGAGCAGAATCGGTGGAAAGATCGAACGTTGAGGAATTGGACGGCAATGTAGCAAGAAAAAAGGAAAAAAATAAAAGAAAGGTGTCTATGAATTTCAATCAGCAAAGCATATGTAAGCACAGATTCAAGATAACGAAAGGCCGAGGCATCCCCTAACCCACTTCAAAATGTTGAAAAGCTTATACACCATACTTCAGCTCAAGCTAAACTTAAAGAACAAGGTGAGTTCCACGTCCACCATGCACAAATGTGGGGGAAAAGAAAAACATCTTCCTAATTCAAGAGCGCGAGCAAATTTCGCTCCTACTCAGTACAAGGCAATTGTACTCCCACCACCTGAAACTTCCTATTTCTAGTGCATTATTAACAATTAAGCAGCAACTTGCTGAGAAACTGTAGAAGACATTGGAAAATGATCATTAATCATCTATTCTGGATTCATTTTTTATGTTTAACTCAAATATTTAAGCAGAAAAGAAATAGGAAACAAAAGAAAACTGAACCCATCATTTTTCATGTTCGTACACAAACGAAGACCCAGTTTCCAGTATACAATTCCAACCCGTATTAATAGTCTAATAACATTTTAATTTGAATGAAAAGCTGCAGCTATAACAGGACAGATAGGGGCAGAACAGAAAGAACAACCCTTGTTCTTTTGTTTTTTCCCAAGTTTGATTTTTAGTCCATCCTTCCCTTCAAAGTTCTTTCCTGCACTTCAGTCGGTGTACTGCAGACGATCAACGAAACATGTCAATATGAAGTAACCATATCCAAATGCATGTTACTGATCACAACAAATTTAGACTTGACGCCCAAAATGGCCAAACACATAGTGGAGTACCAAGTCAGCGCATAAAACATAGGTCACTTTTAGCAGTCGTGACAACTATGTTCAAATTGAGCGTTCAGAAAAAGGTAATTAAAAAACTAAATCCAAGAGTTCGATGACCTCATGAACAAGTTAAAAAATAAAGGAATGCTCGATAAGAGATGTGGACCACAGAGAAATTTATCAAAAGTCGAACCACTACTTCAAACTTTGTATGGTCGAGACAAACTACACATACAAGAGAATCTAATACTAGTGATTGGTGATATTGTTCATCAAAAACCATAAAGAAGAATCTTGTTAAAAAGGATGCTTTTCCTTCTGAAAAGGGCAGGGAAATATAGATCCCAAAGAATAATCCAAAAACATTAACCACTATCAGCAGATTCTAAGGAAAGATATGAGACATTTCCGCTCAGAGCTACTCAGCTTTAAGCACTAGAAAAGAAGAGTCTATGCTTGAGCTGAGAAACTGGTTTTTCCATTACATCATGCAGTTTGCAGTAAATGATAACTGAAATAGTAGTTAGTTTAAACGATAAAAAGGATCTAATGAAAGAAGCCCAAATAGATAGAAAGGGAAAAGGAAAAGGAAAAAAACAAATGTACTTACACAACAAGAACATGTCCTCCCCAACCACTCAAACAGTCACGATCAACAGACGAAAGGAGTGCTTGCGAGATGGTCTCAAACAATTCCTCAGGTTCCTAATAATGGGAAAATATAGTGCATTAATATAGGAAGATACTTCAGGCCACCAAGCATTACATTGGCAATAAAAAATCATTACAAGTAATGCTCTCTGGTTTACTTTTGTTTATGCTTCAGGACAAGTATACAAACTGGCAATAAAAATAAATAATCAGAAATAATGCTTCTTACTTTATTTCATTTCTTCTGTATGCAGTTTCTAATTTTTACACACGTGTGCAGTAAATGTGCTGATAGAACATGCCTCAGCCACATGATGCTTATAGTTGTTTATAAAGACGAAGTATAAAAGCATGCACTTGCATTACATTGGCATCATTTACTAAATTTGCATTTTCTCCCCTTTTTACAATTATAGCATACCCGCAGATCGGCATGCAGAGTATGCATGATCTTGAAAACAGTAATATTCCCATTCTTAGGAGATTAAAAGAAAATGAACAAATCGGATAATAATAAGGGGAAAACATATTATTTTTCTCAAAACAGATATGGCTTACGATATTTTCAATTTAGTAGATTGGCATATTCTCTATGGATACACTTAGTAGACATAGCCATCTTATTATCTTCAATCATTAACCAACACAACCTTGGCTCAACTAAAACTTTGTAAGATTTTTCAGGTAACAGTACTAAACAATGGTCTTATTCGGGATAAGTATGTCTTTCTTACACCATATAAATGCTGATCAGCAATCCACACAATTGCAAAGTATAGGAACCAAATGGAAACCACATATATCTCTTGATACAAGAATCAGGATAGATAGATAACTCAAGGTTTATATTTGCAGCCAAAAAAGTTTTTTTATGGTATAGTAGATGTGGATTTTTTATAGTATAGCAGATGCGGATCAAATTCAAAGTTTTTCTTTTTCTAGGAGAAAAAAGAAGGGGGATTCAATTTCAACAGCTAGTATGATAAAGTAGAAGCAATATCAATAACCAAACAAATGAACTGAGAAAGACTACTAACCATATCAGGTTTGTACATTGACTCACAAGCACCATAGAGAGATTCGGAAGCTGTGCCAGAAACAACAAAGTCCTTGGCAAGTTCCCTGCATATAAAAACAGCCTACTGATCATGCAAGTGCAAGAAGGACAGCCAAAAAAAAAGAAGGGGGCTAAGAGACATGTGGTTTAATGATAGTTAAGGTAACAAAGTTTAGTCAATCTGAGACCAAACATGTTAATGTGCTATTTTTAAAAAGTATGTGATTCTAACGAATTGTTCCTATATGTAGTTATGTACAAAACTGATACTCCCTGGACTAGATTATTGTCTCCCTCTCTCTTGGCTTTCATGTTGTCCTAATATCATATGACTGTGCATAATGCATATGCATGTGTTGTTTATGTGTTATGTTGTTTATGTGTTATGCCTCCTGGCAAGTGCATACTTGAAACACGTGTTAGAATATTGGTTCCTCAAGCAGTAACAATAGAGATTTTGATTAAGCTGGTGATGAAAAAATGAAACATAATCAATAAATTTACCATCCACCTCATTGCTACACAGAGTAAAGGGATAGGAAAAAAAAATCATACTTGGCACCGAGGCAGTCCATGGTGCATATGAATGGCACATTATCGTCTCCTAATCCAGCAATCACAGGTTGACAAAAATATGGGCCAAATCTATAAGAAAAAATACATCAGAATTCACCAGTCAGACATATTAACTAAAAGTTTGTAATATAGCAACGATGAAACCAATTTACGGAACAAATCAAATGAAAACTTTGAAGGCATAAAAGAATATCGAGGAATAGACATAAATGCTAACTTTAACGATACACAACATTATGTACATTCTAATATTGCTATTGCAAATATGATCAACGAGAGAGAACTTAAAAGAGCTACTAATTATCAGCATATCATTGAATAACCAAATTAAGACAGAAATGGAGTATGTAATGTCTAGGACATTTCAAACACCAAGCACATCTTAACGAACACACTCTCTATGACTTGTTATCATTGAGAACACAGGAAGTCTGTAGCTTAGGTCCTTAGGATAGCAAGCTCAAAACTTCGTTGGATGTGCTAAACCTATGACTGATAATTCAGGCCATTGTGACAGGAATATTGATAATGATGGCACAACATAACTACCCACCCTTACCAAAGGGACTTATTTGGGCATCAAATCACATGCTTGGATGAATGACACTACAATAACGACCCGAAATGCCTGGTAGCATGCGCTTCAGTACCAGATCTGGAGGGGTAGAGGTAGTCATAAGCATAAACAAACACACACCAACAAATAAAAACTCAAATGACTAAGGATGGCCTTCAACTTAAATAGTTTCTCCATTACACTATCAGAGACGAAGAAAAATAACTCAAAGCAGCAAGGATTGACCTAATAATCGAGATCCTCCATCATATTTTCATCTAAAATCAAAAATCCGGATGCATAACGAGTACAGAACACAATTTCCTTGTTCAATCATTCAAGCAAAAAAATAAAAATAAAAATCCAAGATGTAACTCTTGCAATCATGACTAAAAGCTGATACCCAAACATACATTCTTAGAGCTAATGTTGGTTCCAAAAACTGTTCTGGTAGTATTCTCCTTAGACATAACGAGTACAGAACACAATTTCCTTGTTCAATCATTCAAGCAAAAAAATAAAAATAAAAATCCAAGATGTAACTCTTGCAATCATGACTAAAAGCTGATACCCAAACATACATTCTTAGAGCTAATGTTGGTTCCAAAAACTGTTCTGGTAGTATTCTCCTTAGAAATCTTGTTAAAAAGGATGCTTTTCCTTCTGAAAAGGGCAGGGAAATATAGATCCCAAAGAATAATCCAAAAACATTAACCACTATCAGCAGATTCTAAGGAAAGATATGAGACATTTCCGCTCAGAGCTACTCAGCTTTAAGCACTAGAAAAGAAGAGTCTATGCTTGAGCTGAGAAACTGGTTTTTCCATTACATCATGCAGTTTGCAGTAAATGATAACTGAAATAGTAGTTAGTTTAAACGATAAAAAGGATCTAATGAAAGAAGCCCAAATAGATAGAAAGGGAAAAGGAAAAGGAAAAAAACAAATGTACTTACACAACAAGAACATGTCCTCCCCAACCACTCAAACAGTCACGATCAACAGACGAAAGGAGTGCTTGCGAGATGGTCTCAAACAATTCCTCAGGTTCCTAATAATGGGAAAATATAGTGCATTAATATAGGAAGATACTTCAGGCCACCAAGCATTACATTGGCAATAAAAAATCATTACAAGTAATGCTCTCTGGTTTACTTTTGTTTATGCTTCAGGACAAGTATACAAACTGGCAATAAAAATAAATAATCAGAAATAATGCTTCTTACTTTATTTCATTTCTTCTGTATGCAGTTTCTAATTTTTACACACGTGTGCAGTAAATGTGCTGATAGAACATGCCTCAGCCACATGATGCTTATAGTTGTTTATAAAGACGAAGTATAAAAGCATGCACTTGCATTACATTGGCATCATTTACTAAATTTGCATTTTCTCCCCTTTTTACAATTATAGCATACCCGCAGATCGGCATGCAGAGTATGCATGATCTTGAAAACAGTAATATTCCCATTCTTAGGAGATTAAAAGAAAATGAACAAATCGGATAATAATAAGGGGAAAACATATTATTTTTCTCAAAACAGATATGGCTTACGATATTTTCAATTTAGTAGATTGGCATATTCTCTATGGATACACTTAGTAGACATAGCCATCTTATTATCTTCAATCATTAACCAACACAACCTTGGCTCAACTAAAACTTTGTAAGATTTTTCAGGTAACAGTACTAAACAATGGTCTTATTCGGGATAAGTATGTCTTTCTTACACCATATAAATGCTGATCAGCAATCCACACAATTGCAAAGTATAGGAACCAAATGGAAACCACATATATCTCTTGATACAAGAATCAGGATAGATAGATAACTCAAGGTTTATATTTGCAGCCAAAAAAGTTTTTTTATGGTATAGTAGATGTGGATTTTTTATAGTATAGCAGATGCGGATCAAATTCAAAGTTTTTCTTTTTCTAGGAGAAAAAAGAAGGGGGATTCAATTTCAACAGCTAGTATGATAAAGTAGAAGCAATATCAATAACCAAACAAATGAACTGAGAAAGACTACTAACCATATCAGGTTTGTACATTGACTCACAAGCACCATAGAGAGATTCGGAAGCTGTGCCAGAAACAACAAAGTCCTTGGCAAGTTCCCTGCATATAAAAACAGCCTACTGATCATGCAAGTGCAAGAAGGACAGCCAAAAAAAAAGAAGGGGGCTAAGAGACATGTGGTTTAATGATAGTTAAGGTAACAAAGTTTAGTCAATCTGAGACCAAACATGTTAATGTGCTATTTTTAAAAAGTATGTGATTCTAACGAATTGTTCCTATATGTAGTTATGTACAAAACTGATACTCCCTGGACTAGATTATTGTCTCCCTCTCTCTTGGCTTTCATGTTGTCCTAATATCATATGACTGTGCATAATGCATATGCATGTGTTGTTTATGTGTTATGTTGTTTATGTGTTATGCCTCCTGGCAAGTGCATACTTGAAACACGTGTTAGAATATTGGTTCCTCAAGCAGTAACAATAGAGATTTTGATTAAGCTGGTGATGAAAAAATGAAACATAATCAATAAATTTACCATCCACCTCATTGCTACACAGAGTAAAGGGATAGGAAAAAAAAATCATACTTGGCACCGAGGCAGTCCATGGTGCATATGAATGGCACATTATCGTCTCCTAATCCAGCAATCACAGGTTGACAAAAATATGGGCCAAATCTATAAGAAAAAATACATCAGAATTCACCAGTCAGACATATTAACTAAAAGTTTGTAATATAGCAACGATGAAACCAATTTACGGAACAAATCAAATGAAAACTTTGAAGGCATAAAAGAATATCGAGGAATAGACATAAATGCTAACTTTAACGATACACAACATTATGTACATTCTAATATTGCTATTGCAAATATGATCAACGAGAGAGAACTTAAAAGAGCTACTAATTATCAGCATATCATTGAATAACCAAATTAAGACAGAAATGGAGTATGTAATGTCTAGGACATTTCAAACACCAAGCACATCTTAACGAACACACTCTCTATGACTTGTTATCATTGAGAACACAGGAAGTCTGTAGCTTAGGTCCTTAGGATAGCAAGCTCAAAACTTCGTTGGATGTGCTAAACCTATGACTGATAATTCAGGCCATTGTGACAGGAATATTGATAATGATGGCACAACATAACTACCCACCCTTACCAAAGGGACTTATTTGGGCATCAAATCACATGCTTGGATGAATGACACTACAATAACGACCCGAAATGCCTGGTAGCATGCGCTTCAGTACCAGATCTGGAGGGGTAGAGGTAGTCATAAGCATAAACAAACACACACCAACAAATAAAAACTCAAATGACTAAGGATGGCCTTCAACTTAAATAGTTTCTCCATTACACTATCAGAGACGAAGAAAAATAACTCAAAGCAGCAAGGATTGACCTAATAATCGAGATCCTCCATCATATTTTCATCTAAAATCAAAAATCCGGATGCATAACGAGTACAGAACACAATTTCCTTGTTCAATCATTCAAGCAAAAAAATAAAAATAAAAATCCATGATAAAATATAGTTTAAAAAAACTCGCATTTCACTGTTCCTCACTGCCTCTCCATGTCAGTGTTTCTCACTGCCTCACAGCAGGATAAAAAGGAGGAAAGGGGGAGAAATTAGGAAAGAAAAAAGAAGAGAAGAAGAGAAAGATGAAGAAGGTTGTGAAAAGGATGATAAAATATAGTTTAAAAAAACTCGCATTTCACTGTTCCTCACTGCCTCTCCATGTCAGTGTTTCTCACTGCCTCACAGCAGGATAAAAAGGAGGAAAGGGGGAGAAATTAGGAAAGAAAAAAGAAGAGAAGAAGAGAAAGATGAAGAAGGTTGTGAAAAAGAAAGGGAATAGAGGAATTTCACCGTAAATTCAACTCAACCAAAGGTATAAGTCGTTCTCTTTATTGATTTTCTTTGCTTTGAAGGGGTTGATGTCTTGATTTCTTAAGGAATTGAGGGGGGGGAAAAAGAGAAAAACAAATACTTGACCACCGTCGAGGGCCGTCATCAACCCCAATCGCCCGGGAGCCTCGGCGTCGTGAGACACTCTGGCGATGGAGCAGTG